ATTTTGTGATGCATGCTGTCTATCTCATTAACAGGACACCTACTCCTGTTTTGAACAATAAGTCTCCTTTTGAGACTTTTTTGGAATACCACCAGATTATAGCAACCTTAGAGTCTTTGGTTTCCTTGCCTTTGCCACAAATAGTGAGGATCATAAGCCTAAGTTTGCACCTAGAGCTGTAAAGGCAGTTTTTCTTGGATACAGTTTTGGTATTAAGGGTTTTAAACTCTATGATCTTGCAAGTCATTCAGTGTTTACTAGCAGGGATGTAGAATTTAATGAGTCTGAGTTCCCTTTATTAACTTCTCAACCACCTACTGCCCCTACTACTTCTTCCCCTCAAGATCATCTTCCTCCCTTTCTCTTTGATGATGATCTTCCTCTTCCTTAGGATCATAACCTCCATGAAACTACTGATCCTGATTACTCACCTACACCACCTCCCTCACCTATGTCTTCCCCTCCTCCACCAACTCCTCCAGTTCCCACACCTTCTACTTCTTCTCCACATCTTTTTCTTCCTATTGCCCTTCGCAAGCCTCAAAGAGTCACCAGACCTCTTAGGCATCTTGACTCCTTTCATACTTCTTTTCCATCTCAGGCTTGTTCCACGGGTGCAGATAGTATAACAACACTAGAATTGTTGTTATAGTAACAACATGATAAAAGGGTAAATTGACAAATATCACAAAATTAAAAATTGAATTAAAATACAAAAAAGCAACGAATTAAACCTTGTTCCCCCACTCTCTGCTTCCTCTAACAACTCTGCTCCGTCGGAGCTCTCTCTTCTTCACAACAATCGCAACAGCGGCGGTGGCACTGCCAAATCGAGTTCATTGCGTTCACTTCATCCTTCGCCGGCCGGAGCTCTCTGCCAGAACTTGTGTCTCCCCCTCCTCCTCGTTTTTTTGTTGTCGTTGTTCTTCATCTGAACCCCACCGCGACTTGGAGGTGACGACGCTGATCTAAACCCCACCGCGGCCGTCGCTGCAGGCAATCTCTTGTTACCGCCGCCCTTCGATCTCGACCGGTAGTGATTGGCGCCGCCGTCGCCCGACGACGACCAGACCACGTCGGGCTCCTCAAATTCGGAAACCCTCTCTGGATTCTCCACCTCCGACGACGCGAAAATGTTGCTGCAGAATAGTTTCCCTAATCTAGACATTCCGATCGTAGCAGGCGATTGACGAAATTCAAAAAGTAGGGATTCGATTATTGGGACAAAGAAGAGAAAGAAAGGAATCCAGAAGAAGGAAGAAAAGGCAAGCGAAAAAGAGAGGAGAAGAAAAAGCAACCCATAATTTTTTTTAGAGGATTAAAGATTCAACCTAGAGCCACCACTCACCAGCCCACCGCCGTACCTCTCTCTTTTCTCTGATTCTCTCTCCCTCTAGGCCTCCGGTTTTATGTTGATTTTTCCGAAGGCGCATCCACCAGCTTGGTCACGGTTTCTTTTTTCACACAAGGAGGGCGATGGTGGAGCGCGCACCCATTTACCAACAACAAGCTAGGTAATTTATATTGGTGTTTACTAATTCTAATCACAAATATTTTTAACGCAATATTTCCAAAAATCCCCTAGTGCAACGCAATAAAACAACCCACAAAAAACATACCGTAAACATCCTAATGCAAACCACAAATTCGCTAAAACATAAAAAAAACCCACAAAGCAAACAATAAATATTTTGAAAAGCACACCAGAAACCCCCTAATGCAAACCACAAATACGGTAAAGCAAACCAAAAACATCCTAATGCAGACCACAAATATATTAAAACAAACCAGAAACCTTGCAAAGCAAACCACAGAAGTTTCGAAAGCACACCAGAAACTTCTTAATGCAAACCAGAAACCTCCTAATGCATACCACAAATCTCCTAAAATAAACTAGAAACCCCACAATGAAAACCACAACATTTGCGAAAGCACACCAGAAACCTCATAATGCAAACCACAAACACGGTAAATCAAACCACAAAAAAGCAAACCGTAAACGTCCTAATGCAAACCACAAACTTGAAAGCAAACCAGAAACTTCTAAATGCAAACCACAAACACGATAAAGCAAACCACAAATAGCATAAAAAACACGAGAAACCAAACCATAAATCTCACAATGCAAACCATTATATCTGGTGGTCGTTGACCGTTTACCAAACTCCGATTACCGTCAGTGAGTAGATTCCGGCGCCGATAGGCATATTCCGGCGCCGATGACTAGATTCCGACGCCGGTAAGCATATTCCGACCACGGTGAGCATATTCCGGCGATCGACGACCAGTTTCTGGCGACCAAAATTTTGGCAAGAAAATAAAAAAAAATATTTTTTTATTTTTTATTATTATTTAAACATATTTTTCATAATGACAATTATACCCCTGTTTTGATTTTACACTAGGTCAACTAAGCTAATAAAAAGTCATCACAACTCTAGCTTCCTATTGGTTGGAGACTAGTGTTGTTACAATAACAACAAATATGGTGTTGTCACCATATCCGCTCCCCCGTTCCACCTCCTTTGATGACAAGCTTCTGTATCCCCTTTCTCACAGCCTTTCTTACTCTCACTTATCCCCTTCTCACAAGCACTACACACTTTCCATCTCTATGACTCCAGACCCTCAGACCTATGCCCAAGCAGCTCTACATCCCTGCCGGAATCAAGCAATGAAGGAGGAGGTAAATGCCTTAGAGGCTAATGAGACTTGGGACATTGTTGACAGACCACCTAATGTTGTTCCCATAGGCTGTAAATGGGTTTATAAAACTAAGTTCTTACCTGATGGTGCAATTGAACGTTTTAAGGAAAGAGTAGTTTCCAAAGGTTACACACAGACTTATGGGGTTGATTTTGTTGATACATTCTCTCCTGTTGCCAAGATCATCTCTGTTAAACTGCTCTTGGCCATTGCAGCAGCTAAACAGTGGCATCTCCATCAAATGGATGTGAGTAATGCTTTCTTGAATGGTTACTTAGAAGAGGTTTCAAGGTTAAGGATCTGGGAAATTTAAAGTATTTCCTTGGATTGGAGATTGCTAGAACTCAGGCTGGGATTTCTTTGTGTCAACGCAAGTTCTGTCTGGAAATGCTTGAAAATGCAGACTTCTTGGAGTGTAAGCCAGCTAAGACACCAATTAGTATGAAGACTACATTGTCTGCTGAAGATGGAACATTGCTTGATGATGGCACAACTTACAGGCACCTTTTGGGTCAATTGCAGTATTTGACGTCTACCAGGCCTGACATTTGTTTCCCTGTACAGCAACTCAGTCAGTTCTAAGATCGCCCAACTACAGTTCACCTTAAAGCCCTGCATAGAAGCTTGAGGTACTTAAAGAGTTGCCCATCATAGGGTTTGTGGTTTTCTTCCTCGTCCAGTTTACAATAGACCCGGCAAATAAGGACCCGACCTGAACCCGCCCGAAAAATAGAGAATGGGTTGAGGTTTTTATAACCCGAAATCCGAATGACCCGAACCCGATTAACCCGTAGTTTTTGGGTCGGGTTGGGTTGGTTTGTGGGTCGACCCGCTAGACCCGTTTCATTGCATATGTCACTCTCAAAATGATAAAATCACTCATACTTTGGTGAGATGTTTAAAAAAATTAATTATTATTTGAAAGACAAGTTTGGAGTGTTAAGATAATCAAACATCATTTGTTTATTGTAGTAGTATTACTTTCGTCATTGTTTTTTGACAATTTGTGCAATTTGTATTTCTTTTCATTAGCATGGAAGGAGTTGAGCATTTGTTAATTGACATGTGCTAGGCAAACTATTGTCGCACATACGTAAAATTTGTGTTCCTTAAAAATTTATGAAGTATGTTTGATATTGTTTCTGAGAACGCTCATGACCCGAAACCCGACCCGAAACCCGATGGGTTGGGTCAATATTGACCCGAAATCAGCAAACCCATCATGATCCGACCCGTGAAGACCCGTAACCCGAGATTCCCAACCCGAAATTACCCAACCCGACCCGATTGCCAGGTCTAGTTTACAATTTTGTGGATATTGTGATTCAGATTGGGCACCTTGTCCAGATTCAAGGAAATCGATTATTGGGTATTGAACTTTCCTGGGTAGTTCACTGATCACTTGGAAAAGCAAGAAGCAGAGTACAATATCACGTTCATCTTCTGAGGCAGAATATAGGGCAATGACACAACTTGCCTGTGAGGTGCAGTGGTTAAAGGCTTTTCTCAATTTCTTTGGAATCTCACATTCAAACCCAGTGAAGGTGTATTGTGATAACCAATCGGCCATTCACATTGCGGAAAATCCCGTTTATCATGAGCGAACGAAGCATATAGAGGTGGATTGCCATGTCGTCAGGGAAAGGTAAAAATCAGGACTTCTCAATTTATTTCATTTGAATACCGAGAATCAGGCTTCCTTTAATCCAGTCCAACCAATTCCAGATCGTAGATAAATAAAGATGACAGCGTTTTGGTTCTCTCCAACGTCACTTAGTAGCTGATACTCGTTTAGACACTTGTCCCTATGTAATTGGATAGTCTAACCTGTTAGTTGCAATTAGCCGTTTTAACAGTAGATTAGGAATATGTAATTACCTAACTATGTATATATGCTGCGCAAAATGGAATGAGAAGGCATTCTGCCAAATTCCTCCAAATCAAACACTTCTCTCTGAAATTGCAAACCCTAGCAGCTGCTAGATCTACTTTTTTCTCATAGAGTTTGAAGTTGAGATTTCCACAACTGGTAATTGTTAGGTGTGAGCTTCACAGATAATTGGGGATTGGTCGGAAGAGACAGAGTAGGCGCAGAGGTTGAGGAAAGAGAAGCAACAGAGGTAGAAGAAGCTGAAGAAATGGTCGACATTGAACCAGGGGAAGAAAAAAAATAGCAGAGGATTAGAGAGAAGACTCGTTAGAGTTTAATTATGCTATGATACCATGAAAGTGTTTGGAAAATCCTGGTTTATCTTTATTGATGAGTATGTATTTATACAACAGGAGATACACTTGAACGAGAAGAAACAGAAAGGCAGAGTGGAATAACAGGAAAACAGAGTGTAGAGAAGTGAGTTTCTGTTCTGAAATCTCAATGAGTAGTGCTCCTCTATCAAGGGAGGATTAGCCAATGAGCCAGTTGGAATTCCGGACCTTGCGTCGCACGGTTCTGGCAATGCTCTCCACCAACGACGCTTCCGACCTGCGTGCAAAATCAGTGTCATTCAACTTCCATATTTTGACCATGATTAGCTCGTTCTAGTTTATGGCGGTATTTTTTTACATATCGACTTTTAACTTCCATATTTTCAAATGCTAATCGACTTTTGACCATGATTAACTTCCATATTTTCAAATGCTAATCGACTTTTACATATCAATGTTTAAAAAATCCTATCGTACTGGTCGGTCGAATCGGAAATATCGAATAACGAATCAAATTGATAAGTAGAAATAACAAACTAGTAAATTGCGACTTTAATACAAAAAAATATTCTATCATTAACTTTTTCGATATAATCTCAGTTAATTGTTTCTTTGTAAAAATTAAAAGTCAAAACAGCGTATAGCATGAAAGTAATGACAAGGATTGAAATGAAGAAATTAAAAATCATGCACACGCAAGGCAAGGGTTGACAATTACGTACTGGTCACTGGCGACGACCCAGCCGGACACGCCAACAACCCACGCAAGCGCCTGAAGCCAGCCGTCGACTCTTTCATAAGTATACTTCTTCTTATGCCGGTCAAAATCCTCCTTGTAGCACCCGCCCCCGCCGACGGCGGAGACATCCTCCGGGGACACGTGGTAAAACACAGGAAACGCAATCTTGTTATGCTTATTCGAACAATGCATGATCTTCACCAGCTCGTCCAAGCACCACTTGGACGACGCATAGCTCCGGCTCAGAACGACGACGTAGAACCTCGACTCCTCGATGGCTCGCAGGACGCCTTGCTTCACGTTCACGCCGCGGCCCGAGTCCACGTCATCCCTGAACGCGCCGACTCTCTCCCGCCGGAGCGCGGCTTGGAGGTGGTCTATGAACGTGTTGCGGACGTCGAGGCCGCGAAAGTTTATGAACACCTCGCGAGTTGTGGTGGCAGTTTTGAGCGGTAATTGGCGAGGAGGAGGAGGAGGTGGAATATTAACTGAGATGATCGTCGGTGGGACCGCCGGAAGGTAAATGACGGCGATGAGATGGTGCTCACAGACGTGGTATCCGTTGTGGTAGACTAGGTAAGTCATCGGAGACGCCATTGGGGATCGGGTAAAGCTCGTCGTAACGCGATGAGTTTATATATAAAGGAGACTTAGAATATGGAATTAGGGATAATTCCTTTTGGGCGGTTTGATCCATATATAAAAACAATCAATCAAGCGAATCAAAGAACTTAGTAAAGTATTGGTTTAGTTTATATTTGATATATATGTATAGCAATCAACCGGCCTCCGATTTAGCATATATGTACTATATACATGGCCGGTACCGGGAAATGTCGATATATATAAGTCGTTGAGCGTTTCTGTTCCCTTACGGAAAGAAATATAAAGCAAAGTCAATTTGGGGGTGAGGGGAGGGAATTATAAGGTATGGCTGAACGTTGACTAAAAGGGTACAATTTCCTATACACCTTCCCCAATTCAACTAATCACCACCTACTCGATCGTTAGCTTAGGGTAAGGGTGTCAGTCGGCAGGTTTTGGTTTAACCGAAAATTGATTTCTCGGTTATCAGTTAAATCGAGACGTCCCATATGTCTGCTGACCACCGACCGTGAAGGAAGTCACGATTAGCCGATCACCGACCGGCCGACTTTCGATTTTGGTTTGGTCATAATCGCAATTAACCAAGTTTATTAAAAAAATAAAAGAAAGAAAAAGAAAAAACAACACCACAACCCACCCACGTTTTCTTCTCTCCTCTCTTAATCTCTTGTTACCTAGCAATAGAAAAATTAAAAAAAAAAAAAGAAAAGAAAGAGAAGAACAAGGCCACAGGTTTTCTTCTCTCCTTTCTCTACCTCTGTGAAGGTGGAGCGGCGACGATCAGCTAGAGGAGCAGGGCCAGAGGCGAGCTGCTTCGGCCGGAGATGGACGAATCGCGGGCGGAGGCGTAGGCGACGATAGTTGTGGCTGGTGGAAGAGCGGATGCAACGAACGCAGAGATGATGGAAGCCGAGGCGGGACGAGCGCGACGACTAAGCAGGACGAGCAACGGCCGGCGATCTGGTCGAAAGAGGAGCGTCGCGGGGATATATGAAGAGGAGAGGCGCGGCGCGGGGAGAATGGTAGGAAAGGTTTTATTTATTTTGGGAACTAGGTTTTTCTAGAATCAGATTGGGAGGGGGGAGTCAGAATGGAAGGGTGAAGACTGAAGGGTTTCTGGGATTTTGGATATAGGCGGCGGAGGTCTAATGTGGTGTGGGAATTAGGATTTTTGGGGGTGTGGCCTAGTTGGTTGTGGGAAAATTGGGTTTAGGGGGTGGAGGTCGGTGAACTACGGTTATTCGGGTAACCGCCTCCGGTTACTCGGCTAACCGCAGCCAATCGCTCTCTCTCCGAACACCGACCGTCCTTGTTTTCCGTCAGTTTTTGGTTAGCCGCTAACCGACAGTTTTCGATTAAATTGGCCAGTTAGCCGCTAACTAGAAACCGAACTGCCACTCCTAGTTTAGGGCATCTCCAACAACCAAGTATAGTCGTCATAGATGGATAAAATAAGCATCTAACTTATCTTCAGATTACAAACTTTCTATATGGAAAAATATTTATGGGAACTCCTACAGTAACTAGATATAATTTCAAGTTAGCTAACTTGTATAGATCTAAACCGTTAAAATAGATCAAATTTATTTTAAACCATTGATTAAAGAAACAAAAAATAAAAAAAATAAGTAAAAAATCATTGGCAAGAGAGGGTTGCCGGTCACCACCCCACGCAAGTTACCTTTCTTTGTTTTTTCTTTCCGTTTTCACATTATTTGCTTTCCTTATTTTAATTCTTATTGAATTAGACGCGTTACGTAAGCCTTCCGTAATAACTTAGCACTTTACGTAACGTTAGGTTAATACTCATTACGTAAAGAGACCTTCCATTACGTAAAGGTTACGGAACAATAGTTATTTCTTACGTAACAGTGAAATCGGAAGCGTAACGTAAAGCTTCTATAATGACTTAGCTCTTTACGTAACACGACATTAATACTCATTACGTAAAGAGACCTTCCATTACGTAAGGCTTGCATAATTATATTTTACAACTGTTACATAAAGTACACATTCATTACGTAAATGTTACAAAATGATAGTTATTTCTTACGTAACAGTTAAATCGAAAACGTAACGTAAGGCTTCCGTAATGACTTAACACTTTACATAACGCGAGGTTAATACTTATTACGTAAAAAGACCTCCCATTACATAAAGGTTATGTAACAACAATTATTTCTTATTTTATAGTTAAAATTAGTAGCGTTACATAAGGCTTCCGTAATGACTTAACATTTTATGTAAGGTGAGCTTAATTCTCATTACGTAAAGACACATTCTATTACGTAAGGCTTCCGTTATGATCTTTTACAACTTTTACGTAATATTACCATATGTTACGTAACCATTACGTAATGCCTATTGTATTTTACGTAATGCGACCTGTGAAACTGCTATCGTAGGTAAAAAAAATCAAGTTGTCTTGCTTCAAGTTACTTTAGGAAATCCCAATATTTATATATCGTCTCACATCAGTGAGATGAAATTGAAGCCTATCACCTAGCGAGATTAGTAAAAGGTAAAAAACGCAGGTCCCAATTCACGGGGTCTTAAGTTTTAGTCGTGGTAGTCTTCATGTCAATGTTACTATCCTGGTACGTGCTCACCAACAAAGCTTTGGATCCAGGTTTCTTTCTCCTTATCGATCGTTGAGAGTGATTGTGAAGGTTTGATTGCAAATTTGAGAAGAAAAGAGGAAGATACCAAACGAGGATTATCTGCAGTGACATCTGTTTGAGCCTAGGATTTGTTAGGCGGTTTGATGAGGCACGAGCGAGGCGTCTGTTCTTGATTGAGGGCTTACTCCCGAACTCTGCAAGACAAGGGTCCATGAGCGGTTGCTCAGGACACTCTCCGATGTTTAACTTAGAGAGATAAGTAAGAACATGTGTTTGTATTTAATGAGAGAGGAAATAGTTGAGTTACCACCAATGTTGGTGTGGGGGTATTTATACTTAGTTAGGTAGAGCTTAGGACATTAAATGCATTGTTAGGCGTCCCAGCTATGGGATGCTTTACCTGGGCCGCCTATGGAGGGTAATTAATGTTCAATCCTTCTTGTCTCGAGGTAAGTATCTTTAAGATATCTCGTTCCCCTGTCACAATCATCATTTTATGTCAGGCGGTCTATACATGTCATGTCACTAGACCAACCGCCTGTCGTGTCCTATCTTCGGGCGTCTCCCTTTTGGGCTCTCTATTGGGCTTGACCTATCTACTCCCATTGGACCTAGAATCCAATACCGCTCAACTATGGGCCCAACAATTGCCCTTTAGTCATGAAAAGCTACGAGTTTTGATAGCTATAAAATCTTCTTATAATTCATGTTGAGCGGTCCGTCCCATATAACCGCTATCCTACATCATGCCCTTGGCCGCACGAGTGACGAAGATTTTCCACAGAAAGAGGGCCATATGCTCTTCTACTTTTTCACAGACAGGTGTGATCTTCTAGATCCTCCCCAAAGCGGCTTGCTCCTTGCGGTTCTCCCTACCTTCTGCATGCTTAGCCACATGGCGGCACTCAAATATCGAGCCCTGACAACGGGCAGCCCATACGTCATTTTTCCTGCCCGTTATTTTGAATTCGTACACTAGGGTTTTCTGCCTCAGTCACACAACCGTTGCGTCGTTGCCCCCTTTTTCCCTTTTGGTTTCTTATTTATACCTTCCACTCGTTCTTATTCTTCATTATTCTTCCTCATCATTTTCTTTCTGAGCTCTCATCGTCACTCTGCCAAAATTGCTAGCTGCTCAGAATTCTCCCTTTCTTCCTATCTGCGAGACCATCCCCTCCTTTCTCCAGAGCGAGCAAACTTCTTGGCCAAGCTCAAACGATCCCAGAAACGAAAGAAGAAAAAATAACAACGAGTGAGAATGGCGATCGACTCTCAAATACCCACTCCGATGGTTAGAACATAAACCTTTCCAGCGACGTAGCCGCTACGACAACTTTTGGCGAGGGTCGAACCTCTAGCGCGGGCACTAGTCTTCCCCGATCTTCTCCAAAGACTGGTGGCGGGTCCAGCGGTCCGTCATCTGTATTTAAACAGGCCGCTCAAGGTATGTTTAACTTCTTTCCTTTTCTACTGTCTAACCTAGAATGGGTTGTAGAGAATTTAGATTTAGTGCGCGATTTTTGAGCTTTTAACCAGATATAGGGAAAAAATTAAGCGGTCTTGGTATGGCCTTTTAGGGATAGGCAAGGACTGCCTAGTCAATGCCGGTACTTCCGCTGGTATTCGGGAAATGTTCTCAACAGTTGGCGACAACCTTGGGGACTTTAGTTGTTCTGAAGCCGAGAGCGAACCTCCGTGTGATACGCCTGTGGTTGCCCTTTCCTAAAACAGTGGGGACCGGGTTGTTGATGACCGCCAAGAAGCAGATAATGCACACCAGTCATAATCCTAGTGTCTGATGTTCTTCACGTGGAGGTGTTCCAAGCTATCAACGATACCACGTATCGTGTGCGGTTACACGAAGACATGTGGGAGATTGAGGAAGTTCCGGAGGCCGCCTACCAACAAGGACCGCCTAACGAAGCTGCTTATAAACCTCACCAGGTTCTCCACCAGCTTAAAAACCATGGTCTCCCGCCTGAATGGGACTATGAGGCTCCTTCGCCTGTTGGACGGTCCGACTCTTGTCCCGGTGGATGGATTCCCATTCACGTGGAGCATATTCAGATGGGCCTAACATTTCCGCTTGTCCCCATCCTGACGAGAACTCTACTTTATTTTGACTGCACGTTGGGCCGCCTCCCGACATTATTTTTCACTCCATTGCTTTCCAAGCTGCTTGTGAGAAACTCGGCGAGACGCCCTCCTTTGATGCATTTCGCTTGCCATACAAAATGCGTTGTTCGGATAATTACTGGTCATGCTATAGGTGGGAGGCCCGCGTTGGTTTTGTGCTTGGAGCGCCTAAGTTAGATTCTCCATGGTTTAAGAAGTACTTTTTTGCTCGTCCAAGTGGAA